GAATCAGTCATCGCTACCTGCGATGTACTCGTCCGTGCTATCATAGTAGCATAATGCCACTCATATTTTGACTTACAAACAAAATACGGGCAGGAATTTCAAGAGTTTAACCCTGTTTTTGAGAAAAAATTTATTTCCATCAGTATTTTTCCTTTAATCAAGATACGTTGAAATAAAAGTGAAACTAAACAAAAAAAATTGCCAGAACCCCCCCCCCCCCCCCCCCTCGAAAAAAATCCTGGCTACGACCCTTATTATACGTAGTGTATATATAATGGAAATATTCACTTTTCACTTGATTTAAAAACGTACATTTTTAAACGGTAATCAAATAAAAAAATTTCATTTTTCCAACGCGTGTTTTTTGCTCAGTGTATGTATACGTGCAATTATAGCGTAATCCTTGGAAAAGCGAAAAAACATCTCCCATACAACGCCCTAAAAAGTTTTTAGGATAAGCTGTTGTGAGTGATCGCGAATGGAGCACCCGCATCGTTTATCTCTTTTATGTAGGTACATAGGTGCACACCCAAAACTCTTACAAAATGAAATTTTATGAAGAACGTACGTATTTACGAAATATCTGGTGTTCAGGGAAATCCCAACTAAACCACACAACTCCGCACTTAGGGAAATGCAGTTTGAAGAAAAAATCACTACCTACGCGCACTTTTAATGCATGCTGTATGCATAACAAAATGCATAATGCTCGGACTTCTCATATTCAAGTGAGAGGAAATTTCTGTGCTTTTTTCGATCGCGAATGAAAAGGAGCGGACATTTTTTTTGTCGATCGCATTCCGAATGTGAGGGATAATAAATTTGTTTGCATTTTTCACTCGCGATAAAAGAATGCAAAAATAATTATGGAATTTTCTTCATCACGAACGTAAGAGAATGTGAATGAGAATTTCCGAACCCTGGTCGTTGTATACGATCTTGCCATGATGTTGGATTCTTCAAGTGAAGACATTTTCAGACCCGATGAAATTCTCAAAAAGGAATTATTCTTGCACCGAAATAAAAAAAAATATAAGTAAAAGTCTTCTCAACTGCAGTGTCACTCGAAATGAATTAAAAATATTCACCCCTATTCTGGTTGTCGTAAGTCGTTCGTAACGACAATCGTTCGCCGAACTATGTCGTAAATAAAAACATTAACGACTTTTTGAAAGGATAGTAGGATTAAAAATTTGTAGTAGACTATGTCATTGGTTGCCTCAACAAAATCTCAAATCTCGACGAATGACTGTAGTGTCGACAATCGGAATAGAGGCGATTGTCAAGTTTCCCACACAGATATCTAAAGCCTCGAGCGGGCAGTTATTTTGTAGCGCAGGTTTGATTTACATAAAATATTTAAAATTTGCTCTAAAAAATGTTTGTTTAAATTTACGCATATAAAGAGATGTAACCAGTTTCCTCTCCTAATGTGTGCAACTTTACACACGGTGTAATAAAATTAAATACTGGTACATTTACACGTAGTTTGTCGCATCGAGCAAAATTACACATAAAATGTTTAAAGTTTAGTAAATATGAGCACTTAATATTTATTATTATATTTAATGTATGGAAATTTACACACCGTGCTAATTAAACTAAACACTCCTTGTTCACTTTTACTTACTAGGGCTGGGTAAATTCGATATTCGAAGCTTCGATATTCGAATTTTAATCGAATTTTAGCTCCAAAACGCCGAAATTTTGAAATCGAACTTTGCGTCGGATAAAATCGAATTTTTCTAGAAAAAATCGAATTTCGCATTTATTTCCAAAGAAATCAACTCTTCAACTTTCTTGTTTCTGACTAAATTTGCCATCACTGTGTGTGGCACTCCATTTCTCTTAGGGATGCAAGTAAAAAATACATGTTTTTCGATCTGATGTATCAAGACAAAAAAATCTGTGCCAAGAAGGAACTCTTATTCTTAAATAAAAAAAAATGTAAAAGTACTTTTTTGTTGATTCTTTATTTTAAATTTGTAGAGGCTTTTACGTTGGTAGTACGAAGCTTTTACCTGAGAAGACCGCTAGTAAAATTTTCCGGTAAATAATTTTCTAGAGTACACCAGTCCTCTAACGACCTTCCAAATTTGTTTTTTGCGGGATTTATTGAAGTAAGGATCAAAATTACCCTTTTAGGCGGGAGCTAATAGGTTAAAATGTTCTACGAAAATATTTCCCATGAAATTTTATTATATATGTCTTAACTTTTAATTTCGCTCAGACATTTATTTTAAAATTTTTTTTGAAAACTACTTAGGCCGAGACATGGAAACTTTAGTAGGCCATGAAATAAAAATACGAGCTAACTTTTGCAAATCCACCGAGTGTTTTACTACTTGATGGGTATACTTTCAGAAAATGTTAGTAAAGTCCGGGCTGGTTTGGTCTGTCCTACAGTGTAATTTGAGTTTAACTTTTTAAACAGGTGACCACTCTCTTCAAGCACCTCAAAAATATTGTAATTGTTGCATAGTATTTTAAGCATAGCACTTCTTTAACTAAATTAGACTTTTCAAGCAGGTGGCACCCCTCTTAAATGCAATTCAAAAATAAAGTTTATTCAAAATCATTTCGATTGATACCCATATTGGGGTAATTTATTTAACTTATTAAATAATCTGATTTTGATTTTTTTACATACATTCATATGGCACAAAGCTAAAACCATATTACACATCTACAGGGCAACCCCTTTCATTTGACACCTACCTCGTTTTTGAAAACCGAACGAACGATACAGATTTTATAACATGGTGTTAAATATTTAACGCAAACATCTCCGAACTCGATTAAGAAGTTTCACTTAAAAAAATTTTTGGCAAATTCGAAAAAACTCGAATTAAATCGAATTTGCACCACCAAATTTCGAATCGTATAATCGAATGGTTGGGCAATGTTCGAAATTCGGAAAAAATCTAATTTCAACCCCCCACTGCCCATCCCTATTACCTACCATATGTGTGACGTACAACAAATTTCTTTTTTTTTTGAGTTTTACACACTTAGTGCTCACAGTTAAACAGTTTACACATACAATGTTTAAAATTGCTCTAAAAAAATTTTGTTTATAGTTACGAATATAAAGAGAAGTAACCAGTTTCCTCTCCTAATTTTTGCAAATTTACACACGGCGTTAATATAATTAAACACTTCCTGTTTACTTTTACATACCAAATTTGTCGCGTAGAGCAAAATTACACATAAAATGTTTAAAATTGATTAAATACGAGAACTTAATGTTTTTTTTTAATAAAAAATATATTTTTACGTTCAAAATGTTCGCAATTTTAACTATTTATGTGGGTATTTTAAACATCTCATGTTCAAAAATCAAATCTTGAACATCTTATACGTATATTTACACAGATTTTGGTTGATAAATAAACACTTTTCGGTAGTAGTTTTACATGGACTTTTTAGAGTGTAAATCACCTAGTTTAATTACCTAAATTATTTCTTAAAAATACCTGACAATCGCATTCGCATCCGCGGATGTCTAAAATTCCACATTTGCAACATCCCTAGTATAAACATACGTATAAATGTTAGAGTATGTAACGTGAAGTATGTACAAATTTCTTTTGCTTTTTAAAACAAAAAATATATTAAAAGCACATGTTACGTCCTAAAAATTTGTTTTCGATATAAATACATCTTATATATATAAAAATGGTGTGAAAAATGTATAGTAATTCATCAATTGAGAACGGTTGGGCCGATGTGGCAAAATTTTTCTTTTAGTTGTTCGCAATTTCCAGGAAAAGGTTTTTACGATAGAAAATTTTGGGAAAACTTTCCGGGAAAGTCGGGAAATTGGAAAAATCGAAAATTGATTTTTTTGTATGGAATTTTTTGTGCAATTACTTCGGGATGGCTTTCGAATGGTAAAATAGAAAATTCTGGAAAAGTCGGAGTCCAGAGAGTCCAGAAGAACGCGAATATTTGGATTTTGTCGACGAAATTTTGTATTTTATCGCATGATTTGATGATTTTGGACAATGTTAAGGTGGAAAATTCGTTGTGAAGCTTGGAAAATTTCTGATAATTGTGAAATTCATTGTGAACATGAATCAATTGGGAACAATTTTCTTCTAAATATGTTTCTTAACCGATTCGAATGGTTGCTGCTTTTTGGAAAGGTGTTTAGAAGGAGTGCACAAAGTTTGAATTTTTCCGATACGTGGGGCAGGGGTCGAGCTACGCTAAAAAATGCATTTGGCTACCTATGTACGTACCTTTTGCCTAAATTAGCATAAGGGATCCATTATTCCGTTAAGTGAGCCAGGGACCGATCTATTCGAAAAAGTCTTATTTATGGTCCGATTTGCTTGAAATTTGGCACGTAGGTAGCGTATTGTCTGGGTTAAAATATAGGAGGATTTTTCTGATAGGTGGACCAGATACCGATCTATTGGAAAAAAATCTTATTTATAGAGCGATTTGCTTGAAACTTGGTACGTAGGTAGCTTATTGTCAGGGTTAAAATATCGGATACTCTTTTTATGATAGTTAGACCTGGGACCGATCTATTCCAAAAATTCTTATTTATGGTCTGATTTGCTTGAAATTCGATACCCGTATTATAGATATGCGTAGAATAGAATTGAGTCATTGTTTTACAGCTCGAAAGGTGTTTGAAGGCACCGAAACATGCGGGTATTGGCTATTTAACAATAGTTATTACACACACCAACAAAAATAGAAACAAATTTGATGCAGCTAATGTTAACGCTATTTTTGACGTAAGCATAAAGTTTCCATCAGCTTCAGATTTTAAGAAAAACAAGGTCAGTTTCAAAGAATCGCGACTTTGCAATATTTGAGAAGCTCTAGCAAAGAAACAAAGGCTTGTAGAACCTCCCACTTAGGCTTAGATTAAAGAAAGAAAATCTCCGGCCGGAAATCGCCACCGGTAGAATTTCTCAAAGATTTTTGCAAACCAAAGACTATTACATAAGACAATGACTAATTCCCGTATTCTTTTCTTTCAGGTTCATCTCTTAAATTACCAAATCGTCACCGAATACTTATATCAACGCAGTGGATGCATCCAACGGTTAAAATCGGAGGACTTCTTTATTATACATAAATGTTTCAATTGAATTCAAATTGTAAATCAAAAAAGTGGCAGGGGCTGAAAGCAAATGAGTAGCTAATCCAGAAAAATGTAAAATGCCGCCAACGCAACAAACTCAGTTGTTGCTGAACATTTCCATCAATAAAAGTACCGATGTTACGTTAACTAGCGTTTCCACCTCAATTAGCACAGTTGTACCTGCCTCTGTAATAACTACCGCTTTCGTCACTACATCTACAATTAATAGTAGCCAGCGGGAAACTCTCGATGAGTGCAGCAACTCTGTAGATGCTGAAAAGGTATACTGGAGTCATTTCGGTATACAGCTAGCTGTTCCAGAGTTGGAGGCCATTCTCACAACAATTGTACTCTCCGTTATAATTGTGCTAACCATAATTGGAAACATACTAGTCATTCTAAGCGTATTTACCTATAAGCCCTTGAGAATAGTTCAAAACTTTTTTATTGTATCATTAGCAGTGGCAGATCTCACAGTTGCATTGCTCGTATTGCCGTTCAACGTAGCTTACTCGATTCTCGGTCGATGGGAATTCGGTATTCATGTTTGTAAAATGTGGCTTACATGTGACGTATTATGCTGTACTTCGTCAATACTAAATTTATGCGCAATTGCCCTAGATCGATACTGGGCCATAACAGATCCAATTAATTATGCACAAAAGAGAACAGTAGGACGAGTTCTACTTTTGATAGCTGGTGTGTGGATTTTGTCTTTAGTAATCAGTTCACCACCGCTTGTAGGTTGGAATGACTGGCCAGACGAATTTACCAGCACCACTCCTTGTGAATTAAACTCAGATCGTGGTTACGTGATATACTCATCATTGGGATCATTTTTTATTCCGTTAGCTATTATGACTATTGTATACATCGAAATCTATATCGCAACCAGGCGACGATTACGGGAGCGTGCCAAAGCTTCGAAAATAAATACTATGGCAAGGAAAAGTGCAGACATTGAGACAGTGATCTTGAGCAACGCAAATGAAAGACAAGAAAACTATGATTTCAGTTCTCTGTGCTTGGCCATGTTGAGTTGTGGAAAAGTTTCGACTCAACCCACATCCGCTATCAAAATACAAAATGATCAAGACTCTATAAGTAGTGAGGCACATGTAAATAACGAGGCACTAACTAAGGATAATATTCAAGAAATGGAGCAGCGTGTAGTTCCACAACGAAAGAAACCTCGCCGTGCGAAAATAAAAGACTCCATTAAACAAAGAAAAATGCGAGCACGCAAGAACAAACAGGGCGACGGCGATAAACCTTATGGCAATAAAACTCCCGCTGTTGTGGATACAATTGGAGCAGAACAGATACTGGTTGTGGTTGGTGAAAACAAATGCTTAGAAAATAGCGAGATTTTAGCTGGCAATAACAGTGATCATAAAGGAGGCACAGGCGGCACAGGGCCAATCGATGTGATCAATGACGAAAATACACCGCCGCAATCATCGACAGGCGCCACCTCATCGGCCCCACCGTTGCAGAAAAAACCTGCCGGTGTATACCAGTTCATAGAAGAAAAACAGAAGATATCGTTGTCAAAGGAACGACGAGCGGCACGCACACTAGGCATTATTATGGGTGTATTTGTTATATGTTGGCTGCCCTTCTTTCTGATGTACGTCATCCTGCCCTTCTGTGGCAGTTGTTGTCCCACGAATAAATTTAAGAACTTTATAACTTGGCTGGGCTATATAAATTCAGGGCTGAATCCAGTTATTTACACAATATTTAACTTGGATTATAGGCGAGCTTTTAAAACACTTCTCGGATTTAAGTGAAAATAGTTTAATAATTATTGTGAAATCATTGATAGCTTTTGCGTATTGTTGTTTTACGTTGATTGTTGTTTTGAGATGTTAAGGTGAACGAACTGAATGGAGCTCTCAACAAACGATCAATAACTTAACTATTAATAAATGTACTTGTAAAATTGTATTCGTCCTAGTGTAGCTCCAAATTGAGATTTTATGGATAAACTTATGTATGGATTAGAGGGCTGCAAATATTCATTCAAAACGGCATATGAATCGTTCATATTCAAAACGAATGAATGATTTTGGCTTAAAATGTTTTTCAATTTGAGTGAATTTTGATATACATATGTATGTGTGTCGTCATAACAAAACCAACCAAACCATGATAAAAACATAACAAGGTAGAACCGTTCTCTCAATTTGTCGGCCATGTTTTTTTTTGAAGTTTGCCAGCATTTTAAAATCATATAAAATCTATACATATAATAAAATTGTAACAGGTCGATGTCTGTACATTATAGATATTAAAGAAAAATTAATATGGTGGGTTTTTATTAAAGCTACAGAAGCCCTATGAACAATTTTTAGAATTTTTGAATCTCTGCCTGTCTGTATATTTGTACGCGCATCAGTCGAAAACATGAAATTGAATGGAGTTTTCACCGATGTATCGCTAGAGATCTAGCTTCCAATATAGAAGAAAAAATTAGAGAGTTGCCACCTGTATTTAAAATTTCAGTTTAGTTCAATTGATACGGTAAAGTGAATACTGCAATATGGCTGTCAAAAGAAAGAGATTTACAAAGGCTTACAGCTGAAAATATTTTTGTGGAAGGTTGCCACCTATTTGAAAACTTTAATTTAATTTAATTGATAGCATAAATTAAATATTGCATTTTTGCCAACTGATTTAAAAATTGTATTCATTAAAATTTGTAAAATAAATGAAATATTGCAATACGAATATTAAACTTAAGAGGATTAGGAAGCTTACTTTTGAAAATATTCTTGAAGCGGGTTGCCACTTATTTGAAAACTTTAATTCAGTTAAATTTATAATATAAAACTAAGTGTTGCCATATGGGTATCAAACGAGAGTATTTGAGAATAATAAAATTACAACAGGCCGATATCTGTACATAATATATGTTGAAGAAAAATTAATAGGGGGTTTATTAGATCAACAGAAGCCAAATATAAAATTTTGGTATGTTTGTCTGTATGTTTGTAAGCGTATCACGCAAAAGCTAATGTATGGAATTAAATGCAGTTTTCACCGATGTACATATTGCTAGAGCTCTAATTGAAAATATAGAATCCATTTTTTTTTTGTTTTAGTTTATCGTCGATCATTATTCCTTGGTATTTATTTGAATTAACTTTTTCCAGTAAGTCGTTACTTATATTTAGAGTTAGCAACGGACCGTTCTCAAAATTTCGCCTTGATATAACCACAAACTTAATTTTTTTTTATTTATGTGTGGAAGGTTTTTCACTAAAAAAAATTAAAACTTTTCATTGTTGCTGCCAAAAAATTAAGAAATCTGAGACGTCACGTTTTACAATTTCATAAAGTCCCTTTACAATATATTTCACTAAACTACTAAACGGCTGCATCGACTTGGTTTATATTTGGCAACACCTTGAAAATAAATATTCTGACCAAAAATTTGCTCGGTATGTAGCTCGGGATATATCTCTAAAACCAATTACGCTGGGGAACTGAAACTTAGCACTGATGCATATATTACAAATGCATTGGGAAAGGGGGCGTGGCTCCTTCCTTCCATACAAACTGAACTTCTCATATAGCTTATCTCTGGAACTGCTTACGCTAACGTCCTGAAATTCTACACAGCTACATATAATATCAATACCGTAGTTATGGCGAAAAGTGGTAATTATTGGAAAGACTGGCTCGATATACATTTACGTAAACGCGCAAGTATCATTCGATTGGGAACCATTTTCTCCTAGATTTCTAAATCCCATTGAACTATTGCAACTTTGTCTTTAATTTTCAGTAAGGTAAAATTTATGTGAAAAATTTTTCACAAATAATGGAGCTTTGCTTTTATGAGTTTCGCTATAAACTGTCCTATCTACATACCTATTTGCATAAAATGATAGCCGTTTTCGTTGTTCGGAATAAACTCAAAAAACACTGAATAGAGTTCCGTCAGATTGCCGGAGGTTATCTTACATACATACATATATGGTCCAATTACATGCTACTAGAAAACTCGCCTGGTGGTGCTGGAGTTGAGTTATTTATAAAAATCGTATTTATTAACCGATTTCGCTCAAATTTTAAATGTGAGCTATGTACCTGTATGATGGAAAATTCTTTTGATTAAAATTTACCTGATTAGTGCCGGTGGAGTTAAGGTTGAAATTCATAACACGTATTCATTTTATGGTAAGCAATTGTTTTGTAGAAAATGAACCCAATGGATGGCGCTGCAGACGAAATGTTTAGAAACCCCGTGTGGTTGGTTTGCTTTGGTACTATGTTTAAGTTATACGAATTTAGTTTTCAGATGTCTAAATGAAGGATGGGGTTAAGTTTTTCTGACGCCCTCATGCACGATCATGCGGTCTTGCATCTACCCAGAAATCAGTTCATAAATTTTACCACGAATTGTAAAAGTGGTGAACTAACAAGGAAAGATCACTGTAAGTATATCAATTGCTTCATTTGAAAGATACTTAAGAGATCACACGACTCATTTAGCAATGTACCGGAAAACTTTTCATCCTGTGGGACAGCGAGGATTTTGGCCCTCCTATAACAGAAAAGGCACTTCTTTGCTCTTGAGTTTCCCTATAAGAACTTTTATTGGCATACGCATCGCACCAATGTTGTAGTTGCAAGATCATACAAAAAGATTACGCATGCCTGGCAGAGATCTCAAAGGTGGAAATAAGACCATCGGTAAAGCTCATGACACCGAAAGGGATTGGTATTCCATATGGTATCACAGCGTTACTATTATTGGCCTATGTGTGAGGAGGATTCTGCGCCTTAGTGGTTTCAACTTAAATCAAAAATTTTGATTTTACAGACTAATTTTGTTTTTAAACGCTCTTTTGCATTGGCCAACGCAAAAGCTCTTATTAGGCGCCGCGAAGTAAGCGGGCATTGGCTAGTTGAAAATAAAAAATTGAAATTGTTCGAAATTGTTGTTGCTTGAGATTGAAAATGAAAATGTGTGTGTGAGTTTGTGAGTAAATTTAAAAATTAAAATGTTTTGGAAACGTCAAGAATTTTAAAAGTAACTCTCAGCGGTTCTACCTTACTATATTTTTATCATGATAAAAACATTGCAAGGTAAATTCATTCTCTCAATTCGTCGGCCATGATTTTTTTTCTGACGTTTGCCAGCATTTTAAAATCATATAAAATTGAGAATAAAAAAAAATAAAAGTGTTCAAAATTGCTGTTGTTTGAGATTGAAAATGGGAAGTGTGTGTGAGTTTTGAATTTTTAAATTATATTGCTGGCAAACGTTAGACTGCCTCTCAATGGTTTTACCTTATTATCTTTTTATCATGATTCAAACAATGTGAAAAGCGTACGATATGTACATTAGAGTGGTCCTTAAATGTATTAAGTACATTATTACATCAGATTTCCTGAACGTCAACCCCCACATCGATGCTAATATAGTCAAAGATATCACACAAAAATTGTTGGGCCCGATCGGAGACGGCTTAGGCGTCTCGCACAGGGGTCAAAGTTCAGATACCTCTATGGAGACTCAAAAAATTAAAATTAATAGTTTTTTTATCTAATACCCAAAATCGAAACTACTAACGTCGAAGATGTCACATATAAATTTTGGTCCCGATTTGAGTAGGGTAAGGCGTATCGCACAGGGGTCAAAGTTCAGATTCCTCTATGGACACTCAAAATAGGGGAGTCTGAACTTTGCCCCCTGTGCAACACGCCTTAACCGACTCCAGTCGGGACCAAAATTTATACGTGATATCTGCGCTAACAGTAGTATCGATTTTGGGTATTAGATGAAAAAAAAATTTATTTTAATTTTTTGAGTCTCCATAGAGGAATCTGAACCATGGCCCCTGCGCGACACGCCTTAACCGTCTCCAATCGGGACTAAAATTTATGTGATTTCTTTGACCGTAGTATGAGCGACTGAGGGGGTGAACTTAAAATTACATTTTTAAGGGCCACCCTAATGTACATATGTACATACACACATATGTATTGCTCCGATCCTATTACAATTTACATTCACACATGTGTTGCAAAATAAAGAAAAGACATCGGTTAAGAATTCAATCGCTTAAATACAAGTTTTTTTTTTCAATATTAGTATCTATGCAGAAACAATAACTGTGGATTTGTAGCTATAATACAACGTTTTTCAGTAATGAGATTTCTGGCGTCTGAGAAGACTCTTTTTGGAACCGCAATGCTTGCAGGTACACAAAAACATAAAACTTAAATAAGAATGTAATTGATTTCAACTATTTTAATGCATAAACATAATTTTATTTACATATGTACATTGCCTGGGTATATAGCAAAAGCTCAGCTTAGCGCTGAAACACTATACCGGCGAACAGCGTTGCCACACATGGGCTTTTCCTACCAAAACTGGTAGGTTTATTTCCATTTGGTAGGTTGCTAGGCTAACTAAGATTTGGTATGTTGCATTATAATAATAGTTATTTGCGAAAAATAGAAAATATGTATCTGCAAATATTTTAGCAAACTTGTTTACACGAATATATAGTGGTGCGCTGAAACGGGGCTTGTACCTAAACCCACTGAGTTCCACCATTGTCCCATTTATTTATTTACCAAAAGAAGGAAAGTCTACTTGACTAGATCCTCCTTGGCAGGGACAGAAATTGAGTTCTCAGAAGAGGTGAAGTATCTAGGGCTAACTCTGTACACAAGGCTCAATTGGAAATCACATCTCTCAACAAATATATTTTATGCATGTCAGAGACTTCATGGTAAGACTTGGGGAATATCTAATATCTAATGTATTTATATTTCAGTACGGCAGTAAAACCCGTTGTTACATACATATGAAGCACTGGCCTGGTGGAAAGAAGCTAAGCAAGTAAACGCAAGTGCGTACCTGTCCAACGGATGCCCCTCAAGTCATCACAGGCATTTCTTGTTTGTCTATTCTGATTGAAAAAGAGGCCTGCTGGAGCGCCCTACGGCTGTTCAATAGAATCAGAAAGAAAAGTGGAGATCTTCGGGGTCATTTGGAGGTTCTCGAGCTATTCCTGGATGATCCCGAGTAATTTCTTCTACAAACCTTACAAGGACAGAATTCGTGAAAGGGACCGCTGTGAAGCGATAATAACTATGATTGCCGAAGGGTATACCGATGGTGCGAAGATGGACGACGGGAGTACTGTGGCAGACGTACATGGACCTTGGCATCAAGGCTTTTGGGCAGCTGTAAAACTCTTTTAAACCACCTGGAAACCCACAATAACATTACGATTTAGGTAATGTGTTCAGATCTCTCAAAGAATGCAGCCCAAATGCGTTTGCATGGTTCGGAGCCTTTTTTAGGCTAGTTGAGGAAACCCCACGTGTCACGAATAGCAGAATGATACACCGTGGGGAACGATTATCTTCTCCATCCAAAATTTGGAACATGGCACCCTCCAAAGTGCTTAACTTCATAAATACCCGGAGGTGGGAGTGATTACAATTAGGGTTTAGAACAATAGATATTCTTTGATCGCAGCGGGAGTATTTCCGAAGTAATAACAATAATAATAATACTCATGTATGTGTAAAGCTAACATGCATTTCTATAAGTCTGTACAGTAAAATGAATCGTTATACGCAGTAAATTTGTTTTTATTGTACTACCGCTGTTTTAGTTTTACTAAATGTTATGTTATCTACATTTTTAATAAACTTGACATTGAAAAAGATATTTAAAAATTCTAACAAAATTTTTGGTAGTTTGGTGGAAAGTTTTGTTTGGAAAAATAATTTTCCGCGGCAACACTGTTCAACGGTTATGAAAATACTCTCATGCTCATGAATCCCCCCATTGTTCTCTCAAACTTGCTCGCCCTAAAGGTCTGATTATGCATACTTCGCATAACTTCGCACAACCATTTGTACCAGTCCAATAAAAATGTAACTTAAGAAAATGTGAAGCAAAATCTAAACTCAACAGATCGCTAAGTTTTTAAAAGCTCTGCTAAATTATGGGTAACGGAATACATACAAAATACATACAAAGCACATACGAAATTACCGTTTGAAGTTTATGCGAAGTTGTGCGAAGTATACATAAGCAGACCATTAGGCGCCTGTTACGCCATCAATACGGATCGCGATGTTTGGTTCGCGATCCTGGATCGTGATATTTCTTGAAGATGTAGCATCAAATATTGATGGATCGTAATTCGGATCGAAAAATATAATATAACTCTCATAGAGTGAACATCGAAAAGTTAACATTGGAAATGTTAAAATGATTGTGGTATGCATTACCTATAAATAAGAAAAATTTCTTGCGCCATTATAAGTGCAATACAAAAATTATGCAAATACTGACGCGATATACGTGCGCGA